GACAAAAACAAGCAATGGGGAAAGGATTCCCTATTTAATAAATAGTCCTGGGAAAACTGGCCAGCCATATCCAGAAAACAGAAACTGGACCCCGTCCTTATACCTTATGCAAAAATTAACTCAAGACAGATTAAAGACTTAAATGTAAAACCTAAAATCATAAAAATCCTAGAAGAAAACCTAGGCAATACCATTCACAACATAGGCATGGGCAAAGACTTCATGACTAAAACACAAAAAGCAATTGCAACAAAAGCCAAAATTGACAAATGGGATCTAATTAAACTAAAGAGCTTCTGCACAGCAAAAGAAACTATCATCAGAGTGAACAAGCAACTTACAGAATGGGAGAAAATTTTTGCAATTTGTCCATCTGACAAAGGTCTGATATCCAGAATCTACAAGAAACTTAAACAAATTTACAATAAAAAAACAAAAACAAACAACGCCATCAAAAAGTGGGCAAAGGATATGAACAGACACTTCTCAAAAGAATACATTTATGTAGCCAACAAACATGAAAAAAAGCTCATCATCACTGGTCATTAGAGAAATGCAAATCAAAACCACAATAAGATACTATCACACACTAGTTAGAATGGCGATCATTAAAAAATCAGGAAACAACAGATGCTGGCAAGGCTGTGGAGAAATAGGAATGCTTTTACACTGTTGGAGGGAGTGTAAATTAGTTCAACCATTGTAGAAGACAGTGTGGCCATTCCTCAGGGATCTCGAACCAGAAATACCATTTGACCCAGCAATCCCATTACTGGGTATACACCCAAATGAGTTCGTGTCTTTTGCAGGGACATGGCTAAAGCTGGAAACCATCATTCTCAGCAAACTAACACAGAAACAGAAAACCAAACACCGCATGTTCTCACTCATAAATGGGAGCTGAACAATGAGAACACATGGACACAGGGAGGGGAACATCACACTCCAGGGCCTGTCAGGTGGTGGAGGGCAAGGGGACGGAGAGCATTAGGTCAAATACCTAATGCATGTGGGGCTTAAAACCTAGATGATGTGTTGCTAGGTTCAGCAAACCACCATGGCACATGTATACCAATGTAACAAACCTGCACATTCTGCATATGTATCCCAGAACTTAGCGTAAAATTTTTTTTTAAATACAAAGAATTAATAAGAGATACTATTTAACAGCCCTAGAGGGGGACTATAATCAATAATAATTTAATTATACTTTTAAAAATAATTAAGAGTATAATTGAATTACTTGTAATATGAAGCATAAATGCTTTAGAAAATGGATACCTACTATTCCATGATATGATTATTATGCATTGCATACTGTACCAAAATATTTCATGTACCCCATAAATATACATAACTGTGTACCCACAAAAACTAAAAATAAAAAAAAACTTATTTAAAAAAATAAAACAGGTATAGCTTAGGTTCTCTGCCTCTTAGGATATCTTTTTGTTCTTTTCTTACCACAGAGCATCTGACAGTGATTTTGAGATCTCTTTCTCTGTGTTAGCTTAAATTTATCTGTGGAGGATATTTCAATAAACAGAAAACTTGGTTACCTAATAAAAAGATTAGTCCTACAGACACAGAGACCAGTGGAACCAAATAGAGAACTCAGAAATAAGATCACACACCTACAACCATCTGATCTTTGACAAACCTGACAAAAACAAACAAAAGGGAAATAATACCCTATTTAATAAATGGTGCTGGGATAGCTGGCTAGCCATATACAGAAAATTGAAACTGGACGCCTTCCTTACACCATATACAATAACTAATTCAAGATGGATTAAAGACTTAAATGTAAAACCCAAAATCATAAAAACGCTGGAAGGCAACCTAGGATATACGATTCAAGACATAGGAACGAGCAAAGATTTCATGATAAAAACACAAAAATCAACTGCAACAAAAGCAAAAATTGACAAATGGGATCTAATTAAACTAAAGAGTTTCTGCACAGCAAAAGAAACTATCAAGAGAGTGAACAGCCTAAAGAATGGGAAAAAAATTTTGCAAACTATGCATCCGACAAAAGTCTAATAGCTGGCATCTATAAGGAACTTAAACAAATTTACAAGAAAAAAACAAACAATCATGTCCTTTGCCCATTAAAAAGTGGGCATTAAAAAGTGGGCAAAGGACATGAACAGACACTTTTCAAAAGACAGATATGCAGCCAACAAGCTTATGGAAAAAAAGCTCAACATCACTAATCATTAGAGAGATGCAAAACAAAACCACAAAACCATCTCACATGAGTCAGAATGACTATTACTAATAAGTCAAAAATAACAGATGCTGGTGAGATTGTAGAGAAAAAGAACACTTTTATACTGTTGGCATCAGTGTTAATTAGTTCAACCATTGTGGAAGACAGTGTGATGATCCCTCAACCACCTAGGGGCAGAAATACTATGTGACTCAACAACCCCATTACTGGGTATATACCCAAAGGAATATAAATCATTCTATTATAAAGACACATGCATACATATGTTCATTGCAGCACAATTTACAATAGCAAAGAGATGGGATCTACCTAAATGCCAATCAATGGTAGACTAAGGAAAATATGGTACACATACATCAGGGAATACTATGCAGTCATAAAAAAGAATAAGATAATGTCCTTTGAAGGGACATGGATGGAGCTGGAGGCCATTATTATCCTTAATAAACTAATGCAGGAACAGAAAACCAAATACTGCATGTTCTCAGTTATAAGTGGGGGCTAAATGATGAGAACATATCGAAACATGGAGGGGAAAAAGACAAACTGGGGCCTATTGGAGGGTGGAGGCTGGGAGGAGGGAGAGGATCAGGAAAAATAACTAATAGGTACTAGGCTTAATACCTGGGTGATTAAATAATTTGTACAACAACCCCCCCACCCCATGACACAACTTTACCTATGTAACAAACCTGCATATGTATCCCTGAACTTAAAAAGACAAGTTCCGAACAGTTGCATCAAATATGTGAAAGTGGAAATGCTCCCTTTAAATGCTTATATGCATGAGTGATTTCAGCAGCAAACTATCAGCTGCTAAGATGACTTAGCTACCTAAGACTTAGGACTCATTTCTTGCAGTATATCTAAAAAACAGATGAATAGGTCGGGCGCGGTGGCTCAAGCCTGTAATCCCAGCACTTTGGGAGGCCGAGATGGGCGGATCACGAGGTCAGGAGATCGAGATCATCCTGGCCTAACACGGTGAAACCCCGTCTCTACTAAAAAGTACAAAAAACGAGCCGGGCGAGGTGGCGGGCACCTGTAGTCCCAGCTACTCAGGAGGCTGAGGCAGGAGAATGGCGTAAACCCGGGAGGCGGAGCTTGCAGTGAGCCAAGATTGCGCCACTGCACTCCAGCCTGGGCAACAGAGCGAGACTCCGTCTCAAAAAAAAAACAAAAAGCAAAAAACAAACAAAAAAAACAGATGAATAAATAAAGTGCTTAGTGTCCAAATAATTCTTAAAGTCCAGTGCGTAAAACTATGCAACGAATGCAAACATGTCTGGATGCACACTAACAAGGATCATATGTGAATCTGAAGAGCTTGTAAATGAAGTTTATTTTTCATGAGTGAAAAAGGTTGCTATGATTATTACTGATAAAATATCATTTATATTGACTTTTTTAAGGAAAGACTTATTAAGTTACTTAACTGAGGTAATGGAGAAGTTTCTACTTTACTACAAGGTAAGAGAATGGAGTCTCCAATCTTTTCTCCAGTAGCCTAAGCTTCACCCACAGCAATTATTTTCCAGAATATAAAAGAGCCTAACGGAAACTGACCTGACCCTTAGCACCTTCAGCCACACCACTACTCCCTTTAGGGGTCCCAAGGTCACATTGAAAGAAAAAGTCAACTTTTCTCTTCTCCTTTAAAATGGTTAATACTGACTGCTTGGTATAACTTCAAGTCTCTGTCAGCAGAAGCACCAGGTATAAGTAAATTCCTCTTTCTTGACTTTTCAGTTTCTTCTTTCACTCTTACAAGCAGAAGAGCATTGTGAATTTATTAACATTACATTTTTGGAAAAATCCTTTGTCTTCAGGAAATGATTCACAGGTAGGCTTTTGAGGAGTACAAAACAATCTGTTTTCCTTACTTTTCATTGTAATCACTCACTAGTGGAAAGGAGGTGATGAACTATGGCTGAAAATTGAAACTGATCCACTTTCTCGAGGAAGACATTAAGGTCTCGTGAATAATCAAAAACTATTTATAAGAAAATAAGCCTCACTTTCCTTTCAGTTCCTATTTCAATTGTCTTATAATGATTTTTTATATTAAGTTATACCCTTTGTGATTCATTCCAAAATTATTTTTCTACATAATCTCCTGATTATATCTCTCATTTCTCACTGGGCAAAATAAACTCCAACCATGATGAAGAACCAAGGGGAAACAGTGGGTCAGGGAGCCTGACTGCCCTCACTCTCATGGGCTACCCTTATTTGTCTCCAAGTGGTCTCACACTCACACGGCCTGCTCCCTTTGGTCCTCTTCACTATTCCCCTAGCTGAGGCAGGAATAGCCCACCAACTAGCCATCCTCCAAGGATCCTTTCTCACCTGAGTCCCAGTTTATCTTACTTCCCCCACACTCTGCTGCTGTCCAGGACCTCATCTTCTCTTCTCCGTCATCTCATTATTTTTTCATCTGTATTCAGCTTCTGATACTTTTCTTGACTCAGGTTTGAGCCCCTACAATCCATTCTTCACACTGCAGTCAGATTAAATCTTCGAAAGCTCAAAACTTATCATGTACCCCCACCCCTCCTTAAAGCCCTCCAACAGATTACTGTTGCCTTCAGAATCAAGCCAAATTCTCCAGCATGACTATATTAGTTCATTTTCAAACTGCTATAAAGAACAACCTGAGACTGGGTAATTTATAAAGGAAAGAGGTTTAATTGACTCACAGTTCTGCATAGCTGGGGAGGCCTCAGGAAACTCATAATCATGGTGAAAGGTGAAGGGGAAGCCAGGCACGTCTTACGTGGCAGCAGGAGACAGAGCGAGGGGGAACCTGCCAAACACATTTAAACCATCAGATCTCATGAGAACAGCGTGGGGGAAACTGCCCACATAATCCAATCGCCTCCCACCAGGTCCCTCCTCCCCAGACCATGGGGATTAAAATTCGAGATGAAATTGGGTGGGGACACAGAGCTAAACCATATCAAGGACTTACATTGTCCTTTGAGATCTGGTCCCTGTGCACCTTCTCACCATTCAGCACCTCCCCACTTTCCTTTGCATTATTTGTCTCATGGAAGGATTTGCCTCCAAACTTCCCTCTCTGTTTCTCCTCCTTCCTTTCCATCTCCACATCAACGCAATGTTGAGGAAGACAAAGAACTAAAGATATATCTGAAATTCTAGTTTGACGCATAGAGCAGATAATGCCATTCAGGGAAACATGGAGGAGAAGGTGCTGATTTAGGAAATAAGAGTTATATTTGAGACCTCTTAGTTTCCAGGTACAAAAGGCACAAATCACAGGTGAAGGATACTGAACATACAGTTGAAATCAAGGGTGTGATGCTTAGGAGAGAGGTTGGGGCTGAAGAAAAATATCTAGGATTCATCAGTCTGAGACTATAGTGATCATCATAAGCCTGACAAATGTGGAAAGGTCCTATATGGTGGGAAATAAGAAAAGGGTATTAAATATAAGACTTAGAAAGCAACCAGTGGTTTTCTATCTGTTTAGTACTTTGTCCTTCAGTAGATATTACCCTATTATCTCTCATGGTTGTCACAACAACTCTAGAATGCTGCCAAAAGACATATAACTGGTACTCAGGATTAAGACTCCACACTTCTGACCCCTAGATTGGCGCTCTCACCATTATACTACACTGCTGCTCCACACGTTAGTGCATGGGGATATTTTTTAAAATGTAAAGCACTCACGGCAGAGAGGTGGAGGAAACAGACCTGAAGAGATCATTTTTAAAGTGGCAAGTGCTACGAGACAGGGTGCTCAGGGACTTTAGAGGTAAGGTGCCAGACCCAGCTTGGACTCCTGGAGGAGCTCAAGCCTGAGCTGAGTTGGAAATATTGTGATGAGTAAGTCAGGGTGAAAGAAAGAGCTAGCAGGGGACCTGGAGGGACATACAGGCAAAACAGTCAACAGAGCAAATCACAGAGCAAACACCAACATGGTCGGTGAATGTGGAGAGCTGCAGGAAACATGATGAAGCCAAGGAAGACAGCATAAGGAGGGCTGCAGGAGGAGATGAGGCTAGAAAGAGGGCAGAGCCAGCCCTTGCAGGCCTTTGTGGCCTTATTAAGGAGCACAGACTTCACTCTAAGGCTGATGGGGAGTTGCTGGAGGACTTTGCTGGGAATTGCTGGAGAACTATGTCATGCAGGGGCATGACATAGATCAGTATGCACCACAGACCCATCACTCAGATAGCACTCAAATGTAGACAGAGAACAGAGAGAGAGAGAGCTGTTGTATTAATCTATGTGACAGATGATGAGAACTCAAAATAGGGCAGTGGAATCAGAATGGAAAGTTTCAAGAGTCAGTTTCAAGAAGTGCAGGGAATGAAAAGATGTTTTAACATAGCATGAGTCACCAAAAAGCCCATCTGACGATATTTACAGAGTACCACCACGCTCTTTGTTAAGAGGCTAGTAGATGTGTGCTTGCATTAACCACATCACCACTTTTTTCATATGAAAACAGGGGAAAAAAATAATCTTGCTGGACTGTATCTTTCTTTGGGACAGTTCACATTAGTAATGGCTACCAAATGGAGATACATATTTCTTGACCCAACTAAGCAGGTAACTTCATTTTCTTTTTTTTAAAAAAAAAACTACTGGGGTATAATTGACGTACATAAAGCTGTACATATTTAAGATATACAACTTTATAAATTTGGAGATAAGAATAGACTTATGAAACTAAGACCACAATCTAAGCCACAACATATCCATTCTTCCAAAAGTTTCCTCTCACCCTCTTTATTTATTTTCTTTCTATAATATAAACTCTTTCATAAAAGCTATCCTCGTAGCAAATGTTTAAGTATATAATTCAGTGTTATTTACTGTAGGCATGTGCTATACAGTGGATCTCCAGGACTTATTCATCTTGTATAACTGAAACTTTGTACCCTTTCACCTCTCTGTTTTCCCCCACCCTCCCTCACACATCCAGTCTTTGGCAACCACCACTGAACTCTCTGTTTCTTAATTTTCTTTTAATTTTTATTTTCTTTTTTTTTTTTTTTTTTTTTGTAGGGATGAGGTCTCACTATGTTGCCCGGGCTTGTCTCAAGTGATCCTCCTGCCTTGGCCTCCCAATGTGCTAGGATTACAGGCATGAGCCACTAAGCCTGGCCTGTACTTTCTGTTTCTATGAGTCTACCTTATCCTTATATACATAGTATTATGCAGCATTTGTTCTTATGTGTTTTGCTTATCTCATTTAGCATAATGTCCTCGAGGTTCATTCATGTTGTTCCAAATGGCAGGATCTCCTTTTCTATGGCTGAATAATATTCCATTATATTTATATATCACATTTTCTATCAGTTTATCTGTTGATTGATAAGACATTGAAGTTGCATCAGTGTTTTGGCTATTGTTAATACACTGCAGTGAACACTGGAGTGCCCATATCACTTTAAGATCCTGATTTCAATTCCTTTAGGTTCATACTACCCCAGAAGTGAGATTGCTAGATCATATAGTAATTCCATGTTTTAATTTTTTTAGGATCTGTATACTGTTTTCCATAGTGACTATACTAACTTACATTCCCACCAACAGCATACTAGGGTTCCCTTTTCTCCACTTCCTCACCAACACTTGTTTTCTTTTTTCTTTTTGTAATAGTCATTTTAGCAGGTGTGAAATAATAGCTCATTGTGGTTTGATTTGCATTTCCCTGATGCTTTACTGATTTTTCATATACCTATTGGCCATTTGCACATCTTCCTTAGAGAAATGTACACTTAATTCTTTGGCCAATTTTTTAATCAGATTATTTGTTTTTTGCTTCTGAGTTGCAGGAGTTCCCTATAAATTTTGGATATTAGCCCTTTATCAGAAAAATGGCTTGCAAATATTTTCTCCCATTTCATAGACTGCCTTTTCATTTTGTTCATTGTTTCCTCTGCTGTGCAGAAGCTTTAGTTTGAAGTAATCTCACTTGTTTATTTTTGCTTCTGTTGCCTGCTTTTAGTGTCATATCAAAGAAATTATTGTCAAGACCAGTAGGTTTTTCCTGTGTTTTCTTCTAGAAGTTTTACAATTACAAGTGTCATAGTTAAGTCTTTAATCCATTTTGAGCTGATTTTTGTTTATGGCATAAAACAAGGGCTTCAATTTCATTATTTTGAATGTAGATATACAGTTTTACCAACATAAATTATTGTAGAGACCATTGTTTTCCCATTGTGTACTCTTGGCAACTTTGTGAAAGATCAGTTGACCACAAATGGGTGGTTTTATTTCTGGGCTCTGTATTCTGTTCCATTGTCCCATGTGTCTGTTTTTATACCAGTATCATAATGTTTTGACTATTGTAGCTTTGTAATATAAAATCAGAAAGTGTGGTTTCTCCAGCTTTGTTCTTCTTGTTCAAAATTGCTTTACTCAGAATCATTTATGGTTCTATCTGATTTTTAGAACTATTTTTTTCTACTTCTGTAAAAAACAAGAGCCATTTGGATTTTGATAGATAGTACATTGAATCTGCAGTTTGCTTTTGGTAGTACGGACATTTTAGAACATTAATTCTTCTAATTCATGAACACAGATGTCTTCCATTTATTTGTATCTTTTAATATTTCTTTCATTAGTGTTTTATAATTTTCAGTGTACAACTATTTCACCTCCTTGGTTAAGTTTATTCCTAAATATTTCCTTCATTCTGATGCTGATGTAATTAGGATTGTTTTCTTAATTTCCCTTTAGATACTAGTTTGTTGTTAATGAATAGTAACACATCTGATTTTTGTATATGGATGTCGTATTCTGTGACTTCACTGAGTTCTAACAGGTTTTTTGTAGAATATTTATGATTTTCTATATATAAAATTATGGGCCAGGCGCAGTGACTCACACTTGTAATCCCAGCATTTTGGGATGCTGGGGTGGGCGGATCACCTGAGGTCAGGAGTTTAAGACCAGCCTGGCCAACATGGTGAAACCCTGCCTCTACTAAAAATATGAAAATTAGCTGGGCATGGCGGTAGGTGCCTGTAATCCCAGCTACTTAGAAGGCTGAGGCAGGAGAATTGCTCGAAACTGGGAGGTGGAAGTTGCAGTGAGCCAAGATAACGTTACTACACTCCAGCCTGGTCAACAGAGTGAGACTCCATCTCTAATAATAATAATAATAATAATAACAACAACAGATTATGCCATCTGCAGTGATAATTTTACCTCTTTTCTGATATGTATGGATTTTATTTATTTTTTGTCTGGTTTCTCTTGCTAGGATTTCTAGCATTATGTTAAATAGAAGTTGCAAGAGTGGGTATCCTTGCCTTGTTCCAGATAGTAGAGTAAAACCTTTTCATTTTTTATCATTGAATATGATGTTAGCTGTGGCTTTGTGGTATATGGATTTTATTGTGTTAAAATACATTCCCTCTAGTTGTTTTATCATAAAAGAGTGTTGAATCTTGCTAGGGGTTTGTTGATTTTGTTTATCATTTCAAAGAATCAACTTTCAGGATTTTTCTATTCTTCTTTTTTATTTATTTTGCTCTGATCTTTATTATTTTATTTCTTTCGGCTAACTTTGACCTTAGTTTTGTTCTTTTTTTTTTTTTTTTTTTTAGACCTGTCTTATTTTTTAATGTAGGCATTTATTACCTGAAATTTCCTCTTGGAAGTTCAAGTAATCTCATACTTGGTTACTTGAGTATCTCAAGTAACCAAATTTTTGCTGCATCTCATAACTTTTGGTTGCTTACTTTTTGTTTTCAGTTGTCTCCATATACTTTCTAATTTCTCTTTTGATTTCCTTTTTGACCCAGTAGTTGTTCAAGAGTG